GGCGTTTCCTGGCTCCGGAACTCCATTCCCAGTAAGCCACAGGGTTGTCAAAGGAGCCTGTCACAAGCTTCTGTTTATCAAACTTCACTGCTGCACAAGTGTGGGTCTGGATGCTATAAACGCACTGCCCTGTGCTCACATCCCACAGCTTTGCAGACAAGTCATCTGACCCTGTACAGAGAAGTCCATCTTTGTAGTAAAGTGCATACACTCTGGCACTGTGTCCAATTAATGATGAGGTCTCAAAGGCTTCATGGTCCTCCAGTTGCTTCATTCTCAAAATAGCCTTCAAATAAACCTTCTTCCGGTGCAAAGCATCCTGAACAGAATCATCTATCTGCCAGCCCAAATTTTTACATGCAGTCTGCCACACCTCTGTACAGGCACTTATCACCTTATTCCACTGTTTAGAGATGAGGCAGCCTGTGAGTAAAGTCTGAGGATCGAGCCATTGTAACAAATAAAAACTGAGCTCCAGGGGAAGGAGTTTGAGCAAGTCCCACTTGAGGAGAGTCTCTAGGTTATTGGCGAGATGCCTGAGCTGGACTGCCCCACTCAGACTAATCAGGTGATAATTATAGTTGTTATTAATATGTTAAGTTATTGTAGATCACAGAAATGGCCAAATTTCCTTATCAATTATGTCTTTAACTATGACTATTTAAAGTCATTTCCACGGTTAACTGCATAATACTGATGCAGTTTCTGGAAACTTCACATGCACGCAAAATCCTAGAATATGGCGTCTTTTAGGAGGTTCATGAAAGGATGGAAAGGATCCTGAAAAGCACTCTTGAATCCGAGTTTCTAATTACTTTAACATCATATCATGGGTGAGAATTCCACAAGAATTAAACTGTGTAAGAATTCCTGAAACTTTCATAAAAAGACTGACTGGTTTATAAAACTGCTAACCCAAATAGAACAAAAATTAAATACCAAGACAATTCCTTGCCAGATTTTCATGCTAAATGAGTGAATACTAAAACCGTTTAGAGATACAATTTAAATGAACTCCATGGTCTAAGTTAAATGACCTATGATAACCCATTGGTTACCAGTGCTATGCACCTCAATTGGAGAAACAACTGGTATTTGAGAGGACATAAGTCCAATGTTAAGCATGGACTCATGGAGAACCAGGACAGCCACTTTGTCCTTCCAGGGTCCTTATTGTTATTAAAAGTTCTGCGGCCGGGCGCGGTGGCTCAAGCCTGTAATCCCAGCACTTTGGGAGGCCGAGGCGGGTGGATCACAAGGTCAAGAGATCGAGACCATCTTGGTCAACATGGTGAAACCCCGTCTCTACTAAAAATACAAAAAAAATAGCTGGGCATGGTGGTGCGTGCCTGTAATCCCAGCTACTCAGGAGGCTGAGCCTGTAATCCCAGCTACTCAGGAGGCTGAGGCAGGAGAATTGCCTGAACCCAGGAGGCGGAGGTTGTGGTGAGCCGAGATCGTGCCATTGCACTCCAGCCTGGGTAACAAGAGCGAAACTCCGTCTCAAAAAAAAAAAAAAAAAAAAAAGTTCTGCAATCCATGACTCACCATGGAAAAGATAAAATAATTCAAATCAAATATATCGGTGTGGTGACTTATAAAGTTTATAACCAATGTTTGGTGTGTTAAATTCATATTCCTGGGAAGACAATCAAAGCTTCAGGTATATTTGGTTACCTGATGGGCCATTTAAACATTTTATAAAGGGATTTCTATTCAATTGTCACTTTCAATGCATGTTTTTGGTTGTATAAAAGCTCTCCCATGCAAGAGGGCTGATGTTATAACAGTAGATTATTATGCTACAGTGTATTTTCACCTGGTAAAGAAAGCTTTTTATGGTTCACTGAGGACAATCAACCCTTTTACAATCTAGATGCCAAAGTCTGGATCTTCTGAAAACGTGAGAGAAAGACTGTCCTTGCCATCCACACTATAGTAAAACTTCGGAACCTTTAACGTTGGGTTCATAATGTCACAACTGAGAAGGGTCCCTCCATGCTCTTGGAACTGCATACCCACTGGAACCCTTAAGGTAAAGCTAAGCAGGGAAATTTCTCCTGAGAAGAAGATAGCATCCTTGATATGAGCAGCTTTTCCCAAGGTCATGGATCAAGGCTTCTACTATCATAAAACTTTTATCTTTGAATCATTTTTCCTTGATTATGGCTGTATGAATAATAGAAATTAAATAGGGTCTGTGGTGTGTACTTATGGGGTATACTTTTATTTGTGAAGGTTTTTTCAGCCAGCTTTATACATGGAAAATCTTATAGTTTGATAGATAAAAGATGAAGGCCCCATGCAGGTGAGAAATTTTAATAGCATATACATTGCCTAATAATCAGTCAGAAACAAAACAGTAATTCACTTCTCAACCCACATCATGGGTCAAAGAGAACATTGCCAGAAGGCCTTCACTCTTCTAAAAGGCATCGTTTGGCTGGGTGTGATGGCTCACGCCTGTAATCCCAGCACTTTGGGAGGCCAATGCAGATGGATTACCTGAAGTCAGGAGTTCAAGACAAGCTTCGCTGATACAATGAAACCACATCTCTACTAAAAATACAGACGTTAGCTGGGCATGGTGGTGTGCACCTGTAGTTCCAGCTACTCGGGATGCTGAGGCAGGAAAATTGCTTGAACCAAGGAGGCAGAGTGCAATGGGTGGAGATTGCACCACTGCACTCCAGCCTGGGCAACAGAGTGAGACTCCATCTCAAAAAAAAAAAAAAAAAAAAAAAAAAGGTGTCATTTGTTAGGCTCTTTTCCCATGGTTTGAAGGAAAAGAGGCAATGATTAGAAATGTATCTCTCATGATAGGCCCTTAGCAGATGCTACTGTAAAGGCTATGGTTACACACAGATGTTAAATTCTTTTGTGAAAGTTGTGCTAAATAGTAGAATTGGCTAAACAGAGAAGTATCTATGTGGCTACAGGTACTTGTGGTCTATGGAGAAATACATTGGGTACTATACAGATTCAGTTGTAGGGGATAAATGAAAAGACCACCTAGTTAAGTAGGTACACTCTTTAACTAGCTCATTCTTTGATCTGTTTGATTTTAGGTGATTTGGCTTTGGGGATCCTGGGTAAGGAGCGTATTCCAAACTCTTGGTATTATCCTCCTGGTAGTCACAACAGTAGTCTCCTTGGTGCACTGTATTCTCTCAAAGGTTTTAAATGTTTGCACACAGCCATCTCTAGACTGCCAAATGGTCTTTTGTCAACTGGAATAGCAAAAGCTGAAAGAAATATGCAACCATGAGGACACTATAATCTATGAATGACATGATGATTTTCCTCAGCATGTTTCGATCACACTTTCACCTAAGTAAGAACCTGAACAAAAAGGGGGAATTTTATTAAACAAAATTACAGGAGGCCATTGTTTTGAACTGAGCTCATGAACTAGTCCCTAACAGACCAAACCAAACCAAAATGGAGTCGCTAGTGCTAAATGTGCCCAGAACAGACCGGGTTTTGTTTTTCCCTGCAAACAGGATGTTCCGCCATAAGGAGTTACCCTCTAATTACTCCCTGTTCCCTCCTTGCAAAACCCACTGTTCTACTGTTTCCCAGTGGGTTTCAAGACTATATAAATACATTTACAATGGTGATAGTGACATCGATGCTAAAGTTTTGGCCAATCTCTCAAAATTGGGAAAATGACCAAAGGAAGGGGAATTGTTAAAGCAAACTAAATGTGGCCTGAGAAGGACTCCATACTTCTGTATTTGAGTCCTTGTGGCTGAACTATAACCTAGCTTTAATAGGCAGACAAGATTGAAAATCTAACTTAGTAGGAGTATGGGGCCTGTAACAACAGCTGAGTCTTGGCCAGTCCCAGCGGCCATACTTCAAGCACTCAGAAACTGCTAAGTGTTCAAACAAGGCAAATGTCAACTTGTAACCAATTCAGCTGTTTCTCTACTGTCACTTCTGATTTCTGTTCACATCTTCCTCTTTTTTTTTTTTTTTTTTGTCTATAAATTTGTTTTGACCATGAGGCATCCCCGGAGTCTCGGAATCTGCTGTGATTCTGGAAGCTGTCCCATTCCCAAATGATTCATTTCTCAAACAGATTTAAATCTAATCTAGCTGAAGTTTTCTTTTAACAGCTTTAAAAATGAATTAAAATCTACCACTGGAAGCAGAAAAGGCTGAGGGCTCCATCAAGTGTAAACAGTCCCATCCCTGTAATTTCTCCATGGCAATTACAATCCAGCACGTTATACATATTTTATTTTGCTTCTCGCATTTTGGCTGAGAGTGAAGCTTTTTTAAAACAGACACTGCCAGTCGGTTTTATCAAGAAGGTCTGGATACCGTTTTTGTGGGAACATTTTAAAGAGGAATGTCCAACATTTTAAAGAGGAAAAGGAGGATGAGTTGAGAGAAGGGTATCAGGCAGGTATGTCAACACCATTTTTAGGACTATAGGAAAGGATTACGTTTAATTTATTTGGCTGTAGACGTCAGAGCCGTCGTGGTACGAAGAAAGCAGTCTTCAGTAATAAGCCCTCAGAAGCGGCGCGCTCCGTTGCCCACTGGTGCTCGGTGAAGTCTGTTGTTCACCTGCGGGGCCCCGCTCAGCACTGCCCCGGCCTCCTGAGTGCTCCAGCACGGTGGCTTGGAGCCTGTTGGCTTGGTGACCCAGATACCCCCTCCAGCGACTATGCCCTGCAGTGGAGTCTCTACCCCAGCGTTGCACAGCCAATGGCAAGGGCCGCTGAGTGTCCGTGGGGCCTGGGCAGTGAGAGAAGCCACCGCGCTGGCGGGGAGGAGGGCAACGGCTGCGGGCCGGGTGGCGGGCAGTGCCACCTTCCCTGCCTGCGAAGGGCCCTCGCCCGGCCCGGCGGGAGGAGAGCGGCGCGCCGCACCTGGATTCCTCGGCCGGTGCCGCGCCTGGGCGGATCCCGCGGGCCGGCCCAGGGCTCCAGCCCGTGCCCGCCCAGCTCCGGGCGCACGGGCGCGGTCAGCAGGGCGGGCCAGGCGGCGGGGCGCGACATTGGGAGGAAGTGCGGGCCGCCTGCCCGGGCGCGTTAAGGAAGTTGCCCAAAATGAGGAAGCGCCGCGGCCCGGCGCTGAGGCCACCCAGGCGGCAGAAGAGCGAGGAGGAGCTGGCGGCCCCGCGCTGCGCCCCGGCTGAGCCCCGGCTGCGCCCAAGCGCCCGCCCTCGCCTCACCTGGCGCAGGTAGGTGTGGCTGCGTCCCCTCCCCGGTGCCAATTTTCTGGTGAGCGGAGGGGGTTTCGGGGGACGACGCGCCGCGTTCATGCCCTTTCTTGTTCTGCCTTTTTCGTGTGCCCAGTCACACCGGGCAGGTGCCCGCAGGGCCTTCACCGCGGAGGGAAAAGGGCTGAAACCAGGAGACTAAATACGGTGGGTTCCGCCAGCCTCGCTCCTGATCCTGCCGGCGCTCGGGATCCAGAAGCAGCGCCGGGAGAGAGGGGCCCGGGCCTGGGCGGAGGGGACAGAGCTCTGAACCTGCGGAAAGCGACCCTGGACCCCGGCGCGCCCAGGCCCACAGGGAGCGCGGAAAGTGCGGTCGCGGCCCGCGAGGCTGGGATGAGGCACAGAGCCAGGAATTCGATCTTGGAGCTAGAACATTGTCCTTTGGCCATTTACACCAATCCATGGGGGAAATGCCGCGGTAGTGATCAGAGTGACTCAATGTAGAAATGTCCAGACGTCTTATAAGCCCAGACAAATGTTTTACTACAGAAAGAAACAGCAGTTGCATTCAAACACCAAACTTTCTGAACCACTACTAAAATTTAGCATGATTACTCTGGTGAATACATTTTCATTGTCAAGTAATTTACTTAGCCAATGAACCTGGAGAGCAAGAAAGTTTTACGTAGTAAAATGTAAACTTGAGTAAAGAGGTAGGGTGATTCTTTGTTTTTGTTTTTGTTTTGTTTTGTTTTGTTTTTTGTTTTGTTTTGTTTTGTTTTTGTTTGTTTTGGGCAATATAGGTCCAAAACCTTAAGCCCACCTGAAAACTATACAAATGCGATCGATTCTTTGATTTTTTTCAATGTTCGAGGACTAGAAAGACAATTGGAGAAGTGAGAGTTTGAATCTTTTTTTTTTTTTTTTTTTTTTTTTTTTTTTTTTTTTTTTTTTTACGTTGGAAACGCTGTTGCAAAACAGTTTATGAGTTTTGCCTGACTTACCGAAGATTGAGTTGAATTCAAGTAGAACTGTTGACTGGAAGTTTTTCTTTTTCCTCTACTTCTTCTTCTCCTTTTCTTCTTCTCCTTCAAAGCATTGAGTCTGTAGTAAAACAAGGAGTTGGAGATATACCATCTCTGATTCTTCATATTAAAAAATAGAAAAGGAATCGTTTAATCCCTGAGAGTTTCTGGAAGAAATTGAATTGATTCTAGCATCTGACTTCGTCTTAGTAGGGACACATTCATTGCCTTTAAACAGGCAGCATTTTAATTGAATGCAACTAAATACATTGATGTCCTCCCCAGTGAAAGTCCGGGCAGGGCATAGATAGAACTACCTTTGAGCTAAAAGGCTTAAATACACGTAAATTATTAAGTGTTTTAAGTGAGAAATCTTTGTCAGTGAAAATTATTTTGTCAAATCACTTTGTTCTATCTGAATGGCACTTTTAATGTATTTAGAAAAATCTTGCATTAAAACAGAAACTTATTTGTCTCACTCCCTGTATTTGAAGTGCACTTTGAAAGTGTATTTGAATGAGAGATTATCATCAAATTTCTTGATTTGTGTCTTATCCTCTTACACTTCTTCCTTGGTTTTGAATAGGTTGGATTTGAACCTAGGAAAAAAGAGATTTTTTCTACTGATGGATTGTGGGAAGATTTTTTTTTTAAGCCTCTGTATTTGAAGTGAAATATAAAATAGGATTTAGAATAGTTTTAATAACTAGAATGCTTTAAGCTAGGATAAAGATGGGGTGTATATTTTAGGTCTTTACCTTTCCTGAGAGATGAAATTGGTAGAAACATTATTTTATTGCTAGATTTGCACTTGAGAAATGATTCACCTTCATCTTTGTTAGGCTGCTATTTATATTGTAAATGCAGATCTAATCACTCTGTTTTTTAAACTGGAGACTTCTTAGTAGAACTTCACTTATTTAGTACATTGTTTACCCATGGTTATTATCCAGCATGCTTGTGCCAAAGTGTATTTTGGAATTCAAGCTTTTTCAGAATTTGGAATTAAAACATAAAATCTAAATTTGAGCCGGGCGCGGTGGCTCAAGCCTGTAATCCCAGCACTTTGGGAGGCCGAGGCGGGTGGATCACAAGGTCAAGAGATTGAGACCGTCCTGGTCAACATGGTGAAACCCCGTCTCTCCTAAAAATACAAAAAATTAGCTAGGCATGGTGGCGCGTGCCTGTAATCCCAGCTACTCAGGAGGCTGAGGCAGGAGAATTGCCTGAACCCAGGAGGCGGAGGTTGCGGTGAGCCGAGATCGCGCCATTGCATTCCAGCCTGGGTAACAAGAGCGAAACTCCGTCCTAAAAAAAAAAAAAAATCTAAATCTGAGAATTGAGAAAGACATCGCACAGAATTTAGGGAGGTAAACACGCATGTTGATGCTGCTGATTACTTGCCATTCCAGTATAGTCTGGAGAGAATCCTGTAATTCCATGCATCAATATTTCTGCACTTTCACATTTAACAACATGCATATTCTTACTAAGGGGAATAAATGAAGACTATAAATAGCTGTGTGTCTGTTTAGAGCAGGTGTTATCACTACAAGGGCTTCTCTAAAATTTACCAAAAAAAAAGGTCTTGTTTTTCAGAGCTTTCTAGAGCTGGAGATGATGGACTGAGTCTGTATTAGACTCCACTGGACTATGGTTTGCTTTTGAAAGCAAAGTGCATTCATATTGCTCAATACTTCACACAATACTTCACACTTTCCAGTAATTAGAAGGGCAGTTCCTCTCCCTTAAGGGAGTCTAAAATAGCAAGATTTTACTGAATTTTCAATCGTATCGATCAAAATAAAGGTCCTTCAAGTAAGAGCAGATGTTTCATCTTTGTAATATAGTTTCAAACAGCAGAGTTTCTGACAGTCTACGATTTTAGAGAAAGAGAGCAGAAGTTACTCACAAACGGGGTTACTGCCACCCTTTACAGCTGCAGTCTGTCCATGGAAGAAATATTATTTCCTGTTAACTTTGCAACCAGCTGGGTTTGTGTCAGTTATCTACACCTAAGTGATGGCTAGTTTTTACTTTCTCAACTTTCCCTGTGTAGACGTTTTTTCCAACTACCCCCTGACTTTTCTACTCTTGCTTTGCAGGTTTTAACATTTTCCACAACTTCTGGACTGGTTTAGCTGTAACTGAGTGGAGAAAAAACCAAAAATTTAGGCCTTTGGGGTAGAATTTGTTTCAAAAGCCTACATGTTGAACGTTACTTTTTCTTCTAAAAAACGAAAATCAGAAGGCAGAGTCCTAATGAGAGATTGTAAACAGATTGCCTGATTTGTACCTTATCCTCTTCTACTTAGACTTAGACAGGTTGGATTTGAATCCTAGGAAAAATGGTTTTTCTACTGAAGGATTGTGGGAAAATGTTTTAAGAACTAGTCTGACTGGATTTTAGGAAAGTTAATTCATTTTAATATGATGTGATCAGGGAAATTTTCTATTTGCTTATAATTTTATCTGACCAAATATTAGCTTTTATCCATCTGAATTTTTTTTCCTTTATGAATCCAATTGTGTAAGTTTTGTCCTACGTCTCTTAAAAGGTGGTTAAACTGGAATCTTAAAGACAGTTGAATTTAGCCAAGACCAAAGATACCCCAAATCAGAATATTTTGTTTAGGCTATAGTATGTTTAACAAATCAAAAATGGTTCCCTTGATTCTTTTCTTTCTGGGAAACCACGTGTTGATTTCTGGCAGCTGGCCAAAGGCAGATGGTGGTGGAACAAGCAAAGACAGTTAAGAAGGTGATGATGACTAGATTACTGAGGAGTGCCGTGAGCTTTCCTGTCTCTGCTCAGAGGTGTCTAGCTCTGAAACTGGGATCCTGGCTCGGAGCTGGAAAGGCGCCTGCAGTCACTGCTGTCCTGGAGCGCTGGAAGGGAGCATAAGTGTGGGAAGACAGTGGACTTCTAGGCTGGGTGCAAAGTGGGAGATATCTTGACCCAAGTGAAAAGTAGGCAAGCTGCAGGTCCACCCAGGCAGCCTGGACTGGAGCCCGGGTGAGGGAGGCTCTCGACCCGGATACTGTTAATTGGGGAGAGAATGTAAATTCAACAGGGGGAGGGCCAAGGGCAGAGATTCAGTTTAAATATTGCTTTACTTAGGTATACGTTGCCTGACTATAAGTAGCATTTGAATGTTCAACATGTGACCTTTCATTTTTGCTCTCCATTGGTTTCTCGTAACCGATACATCCTTATTTTACCTTGGTCAACCTGGTAATTTATTAATACGACATCTATCAGTTCCTGTTGAGTTGACATGCAAATGTTTGGTATGACCTAATTTAATTTCTCTTTTTGCTTAATTTTCATTTGTAATGCTTTCCTCTTTTCATTCTTCCCATCCTCTGGTACTGCTTTGAGTTATTTCCTCTAGAATTCTCATTATTTCCTTACGATTGGCATATTTGCAGTTTTATTTTTGGTGTACTAATTCTAGACAGTGTTTGTTGACACTGAGAATTGAGGACTTGGCGGTCCTGTGCCACCAACACCTTCCACTCCTTCCCACACTGTCCCAGGACGAGTATTCTCTCACTTGAGGTTAAGAAGTTATTTGGTGTGTGCTTATTATGGTTATATAAATACAGTTCACTGCTAAGGCAAGGCATGTGAGTTCATTTTCTTTCTTGTTCCCCTTTTTGCTTTTTCTGGGGCCAACCCTTGCTTTGTTTTTGTGTTTTCTTAGTTTGTACTGTGCCAATTGACACCATTTTCCATGGGGTCAGATGTGCCATGTAATCTCACAGTTCCATTTTTCTTTCTTTTTTTTCTGGAAACTTCCATCTTTTTATTCTAGTCTAACAGTTGCTCTTCAGTGTTACTATACGTATAGTAATACCTGAAGAATATATGGGGTGGTATTTGGTGTGGTTTTTTTTTTTTTTTTTTTTTTTTTTTTTTTTTGGTAAAGATGGGCTCTCTCTATGTTCCCCAGAGTAGTCTTGAACTCCTCGGCTCAAGCAATCCTCTTGCCT